GCATTATAAGCTCGGGTTCCAATCATGTAGGCCTGTCGCATTTGGCGCGGGCTGAGTTGGGATCGGGCCTGGGGCGTGTGATGCTCAGGTCGCGATTGGGGCCTGAGGTGTGAACGGGTACGCGGGCCGGATGTGGTGAATGTCGCAGTGTGCCTGAGGCGTGTACTTCAACGCGGGTCACTGGCGAGTGTTGTGGAAAATGAATTGTCGCAGTGTGCCTGAGGCGTGTACTTCGACGCGGGTCACTGGCGAGGAATATGAAAGAGGAATGAGGATGGAAGGAACAGTGGGATGAGAATGATACATGTGCGTGTGTACATCTGACATGATTGAGTTTGAATGCTGATGTGTGCATTATTGAGCCTGACCGTCTTAATTGATGTGCCTGTGATGTGATTACTTGATGTTCGTGAATGTGTGTGATTGCGTAATTGTCTGGAGGTACGTGATAGCCTAGGTGGGGTTTAGGGGTGAACTTACTGAGAAGTGTTCTCACGGTTGTTTCAACCGACAATTTCAGAACCCCGACAGGAACCATGAATCCTCCACCACCGCCGCCAGTACGTTTTGGGATACCAGTGCACGCGGAGTACGATGTGGCAGAGTTTCCGGTGGGTTTCAGAAGGGTAACATTTTTGGAAGTTAGTATGCCAGGTCGTCTGTTTTTGTTCTTACTTTCGAAGGTTTTAGGAATGTGTGTACTGGTAAACTAAGGTTTGTTCTATTGTAAATATGATGGAATAAGTTTGATCGAGTACTGGAAATGTATATTCTCCCAATTCTCCCCAGTTTAATTTGTCCGGGTATTTTTTTTTGGTTTCCGTTTGCGCAATGAAATCTCTGATGTTTAGTTGAGGTCGGCGATAACCTGGGACGTCGCAACTATTCGACCGGAGGCGGGATGTCGCGGGCTCGACGGGGGTTCGGGGCGTGACAGTAAGTATCTAGTCGAATGGCCAGATACAACTTATTTAAACTTGTCAAATTTGAGAAATCTGAAAATGTTGTCATCAATGTATTAATGTGTAAACTGACAAGACTTCGAGGGAGCCTTGGTACTAGGCATGTTTCAATCAATGTCAATTTCAAGATCCTCAAAGATGAATGTCTAGAAATATCATTAGGAATTTCCAGTTGCAAGCTTTCACCAAGTGCTGCATCTATTTCTTCAAGCTTTTACAGTATCCATGAGGCACTAGATATCTTTCCAATGGAACACTTATTCATCCTCACTACTTCCAAACTTTTCATGTTTCCGATAGAGTCAGGTAGCTCTTTTATGCACGTGTAGTAGATATACAACTCAAGTAGCGACTGCAGATTGCCAATTGAATCTGGAAGCCTCTCTATACATCTACATTCTTTCAAAGACAAGTATTCAAGGCTTGTAAGAGCTTGGTGCTTCTAAGAGATAGCCCCTATAGCGATGTTTAATGACCAATGGAAGAGATTATCTTCTTCAATGATGAACAAAGCGAAGCACTCAGAATTTTGATATCCTTCAACGCTTGACATTCAGCATTGAAGAATTCAGTAATGCCTGAATGTCATAGATGTTACCCATGAGCGTATTCAATTGATTCTTCTGGTCATCATCATAAAAAAGGACGAGAACTCTTTTACTAGATAGCCTATCTTTAATTGTGTTGATCCCTTCATCAACATTACTTATTTCTATCAATTTTCTTTTGAGGACATAGGAAATGAGTTGATTTTGCAAGTACTGAATGCCCTTTGAGCACTAAAGTATCACTGATGTTAGAAAGAAAGCAACAATGCTCAAAACCACGTGAAATCTAATTGTAGATAATTTTGGCGAGAGTCGACTTTACTACACTGCCTGGTCTATGAATTCCAATTATTTGTGTTTCCTTTGTTGTGAGTGCCTATCACACTCATGGGTAAGACTACCTTGAATAGCATTACGTACGATGCCCCAAATTGCACAATGAATCCCTCTAACCTTCTCTAATGATTTCTCTGAAAAAAGGGTGAACCATTCAACCGAAACTTCACATGAAGTTCAAGAAGTTCAACAGATTCAACGATTTCATCAATAGGCAATGACTTCCCTCTCTAATCTCCAAGTTTCTGTCCCTAAACAGATGAATGCACAATTTATCACTCCAAGATTGTGAAAGGGAATTTAGTCCACATTAGATGTCATCCTCATTTTCCTTTATTTGGTCTTTGTTTGTACAGCTTCCAAATTAGCCACAGCTCCCTGCACAGAAAGATTTATGTAAGTTTCTCAAACTTGAATTCCTCTCAGCAACATTAGGAACCAGCAAAAAGCCTGTCATTTGAGATGTCTCCCTTAGCACTTCGTGTCAATCTTAAAACCTAAAAGAATCCTCTAATGTAGTTTGAGGTGAATGGAAGGGCTTCTATGACAGATAATCACCTTGGCAGAACCATTTCTAGATTCATTTACATGATTTCTAACCCCAAGTGAGACTTATGATATGTCCTAGGCACATATATTATTGAAATTTAGCCTTAACCATAAGATGAATTATGATACCTTAGAGAAGCTTAATAGTTCCCTTCTCTTGTCACATATGGAAGTTTGGTTGCACCAACTATTGATTCCACTACCCAAGTGAAATTAGTCTCTCTTCATTTTATAACTTCTCCCTAACATTTGCAAATCCCAGTAAAAAGCACCACTACAAAAAAACATGTTTTTTCCGACGAAATTTCCAACGAAAAATTTGGAAAAATTCGTTGGAAAACGAATTTCCAACGAATTTTCCAACGAAAAAAAATTCGTTGGTAATTCATCGTCGCAAATTTTTCCAACGAAAAATTTCAATTTTCGTTGGAAATTTGCGACGAATTTTTTTTCGTTGGAAAATTCGTTGGAAAACTCGTGGCTAAATTCGTTGGAAAAACTACAAAAATTTTTTTTGATCGAAAAATCGTGGAAATTTTTTTCCAACGAAAAAATTTCAATAATAATTCGTCCGACGAATGTCAACTTTTTTTTCCAAAAAAAATTTTTTGGTCGAAAAATCGCCCTCGCCGGCGAGCTCGGCCCTCGCCGACGACGAGGCTGGGCCTCGCCGGCCATGGCGAGGCCGAGCTCGCCATGGCCGGCGAGCTCGAGCTCGCCCAAAACTCGGCCAGATCTGGGCGAAATCGAGCTCGCCGGCCATGGCGAGCTCGGCCCTCGCCGGCGGCGAGGGGCCTCGCCGGCCATGGCGAGGGCCGAGCTCGCCATGGCCGACGAGCTCGAGCTCTCCCGAGGCTCGGTCGGATCTGGGCGAGCTCGAGCTCGCCGGCCATGGCAAGCTCGACCCTCGCCGGCGACGAGGCTGGGCCTCGCCGGCCATGGCGAGGCCCGAGCTCGCCATGGCCGGCGAGCTCGAGCTCGCCCAGAACTCGCCCAGAACGCTTGCCATGGCCGGCGAGCTCGAGCTTGCCCAGATCTGGGCGACCTCGAGCTCACCGGCGACGGCGATGAGGTGGTCGAGGAGCGTGAGGTTGAAGTCGCCGGGGATGGAGTGACGTCGGTGATGCCAATCTGGACGAGGCGGCAGGCGAGGTGGCGGCCCATGGTGGCGTCGGGGGCGCCGACCGCCGCGGGGGCCTGGCTCTGGATGGCCGCGGCGGCGCCTTTGGGGAGGGAGCCGACGTCGCCCGAGGGGGGCTTGCAGGAGTTGAGGGCCCCGATCTTGGTGTCCATGGCGCCGATCTTGGTGTACACGCTGAAATAATTGCTCAGAAAATTGAAATTCGTTGGAAATTTCCAACGAATTTTCCAACGAGTATAAAAAATGCCGAACAATACCGGGTTTTTTTGAATTCGTTGGAAAATTCGTTGGAAATTTCCAACGAATTTTCCAACGAAAATTATACACACTGAAATAATTGCTCGGAAAATAAAATTTCGTTGGAAAATTCGTTGGAAATTTCCAACGAAATTTCCAACGAATATAAAACAATGCCGAACAATACCGGCTTTTTTAGAATTCGTTGGAAAATTCGTTGGAAATTTCCAACGAATTTTCCAACGAAAATTGTACACACTGAAATAATTGCCCGGAAAATTGAAATTCGTAGGAAAATTCATTGGAAATTTCCAACGAATTTTCCAACAAATATAAAAAATGCCGAATAATGCCGGGTTTTTTTGAATTCGTTGGAAAATTGTACACACTGAAATAATTGCCCGGAAAATTTAAATTCGTGGGAAAATTCGTTGGAAATTTCCAACGAATTTTCCCACGAAAAATTTTTCGTTGGAAAATTTGTCGCAAATTTGCGACGAAAATTTTTTCGTCGCAAATTTTCGTGGCAAAAATCCAGTTTTTTTGTAGTGCACAGCTTTCCTGGAAAATAAACTGAACATAAGCATATTAATACAAAGTGTTTGTCTTCTTCACAGTTGCAGCAATGAGTTGATTATGCTGTGAAGTTACTAGGATGAGAACCATAGTTATATGACCTTCCAACACACATTCGATCTAATTGTTCACAGCATAATGAAGTTATCTCCAATGCAAAATGAGGTTATCAACTTCGAAATAAGTGAAGCAGCAAATCGAAAAGGATCTTAATAATTTGTCACTATCAAATAAAAAGGATGCAATCAACATGCATAACCTCCAGCTGGGAAACAAAAAAGTAAGGAGAAACCATCCAAAGAAAATATAGCTAAAAAAGCCAAACCAAAAAAAGGAAAATAATACAAATACTTGTTCATAATTAAGAACCCTCTAGTTATTCGGAGGTATCATAATTTCAACACCAACATCATTTTGCAGACATGAATTCGCAAAAAGGTCATTAAAAATTGCACGTACAACTTCTCTGTTCATATTTGTGAAAGAATTTTATTGCAAGAAAAGGAAAAAATTGGTTGTTAGATGAAATAACCTACCTCAATTCGTTTAAAGTTTGAACACAAGCAACAATTTGTGATTGGGGATCTAGAAGCTTTCAAGTGCCAGGTGCACTTATTTGTCGTCTTCTCCCACAGATTCATATTCGTCTCCTTATCGCAAAAATCTGATTGACTTCTCTGAGCAAAGCCTAGAAATTGCCTCCACATTTAATTTCCCACAATGATTTGTTGCAACCATTTGCAGTTCATTTAAGCTTGACAGATCGGGTAACTTTTGGAAAGATTCACAAGAAAAAATCTTCAACACTTCCAAAGACTTTGGGAGTTCACCTTGAATCTCAATCAGATTATCACACCATGCTACTCGGAGACGCCTTAGTTTGTTTAATTTGCTTAGATCAGGTAGTATTTCCACCTGGCCAAGGCTCCAAAACTTCAAATCACGTAGGTTCTCCAGACAACCAAGGCCTGGAATCTCTGAGATTGCACCGTGCCAAATCTCGAGAGTTGATAGTTTCTTCAAATTTGATAGATCCTCCACCGAGCGAAGTGAGTAGCAAAATTGCAGACACAAGGAGGATAAAGTGGAGGGAAGCCTGGGGAGGCGACGCATGTTAGGGCACCGGAGGTGAAGTGACTTGAGATGAGGAGGAAGGGTAAGGTCTGTTGGTGAGGTGGTCACATAAGGAGAGCGCAGGGCTAGAGACTCTAGTTTGCTGAAGTCCCCAATCCACCGTGGCATCGGATCTTCCACAAGAGCATTAGATTTCACATCATCATTAGGTACGCCAAAGCTCAGATTCAATATCTTTAAGTTAGTGAGGTTGGAGAGATCGGGAAACGTGTCCACATTCAACTCCCACAGTTTTAATTCGATAAGACTTTCGGGAAGCTTCGGTAGTTCGTATATATCCGCACTCTTCAATTTCAAGATCCTCAATGATTGATTCCTGTAGATGCAATTGCCAATTTTCACATGGAAATGCTCGATATCATATTTTTTGTGGGCATCTATTTCTTCGAGCTTCTCAATCGTCCAAAAGGCATCGGGTATTTTGCTTAAGTTACTTTCCCCCATCTTCACTACTTTCAAATTTTTCAACTTTCCGATGGAATCAGGTAGTTCTTTGATGCTCGTTCCGGATATATTCAACTCACTCAACGATTCCAAATTCCCGATTGTATGTGGAAGCCTCTCCAATGATCTGCAGTTCTTTAGAGATAGGTATTCAAGGCTTGCAAGACATCCACCCAGCTCGTCTGGCAGCCTCTGAAGATTCAGACAATGCCTTGCTTCTAAGGAAACTAAGCGATTCAAATGACAAATCAACCCATCAACTTCAACTATACTAACACAGCGATATAGGATCAAACGTTCTAAATTTGCAGAAGTAGAGAAGTTGGGAGTTCTCTTTACATGAAAGCAATTGCTCAGATCCAAAACTTTCAATTTCTTCATCCCCTGTAAAAGAAAAATTATGCAAAGATTACTTTTGAATTCAACAAGACAAAGTAATAAGTTCTGTCTAGCATATAACACTACAAAAAAACAAGGGTTTAGCCACGGAAATTTGCGACGAATTATTTTTCGTGGCTAATTGCGACGCAATTTGCGACGAATATATTTTCCGTCGCAAATTAGCCACGAAAAATAATTCCTCGCAAATTTCCGACGAATTTTGCGACGAAAAAAAATTCGTGGCTAATTTGCGACGGAATCTGCCACGGATTAAAAATCGTCGCAAATTTGCGACGAAATTTACCACGAAAAAAAATTCGTGGAAAATTTGCGACGGATTTTCCCACGAAAAAAATTCGTGGCTAATTTGCGACGGATTTTGTCACGAAAAATAATTCGTGGCTAATTTGCGACGGAATTTGCCACGAAAAAATATTCGTCGCTAATTTGCGACGGAATTTGCCACGAAAAAAAATTAGTGGCTAATTTGCGACGAAATTGCCGACGAATCTTTTTCCGTTTCTAATTTGCGACGAAAAATAAATGTCGTCGCTAATTTGCGACGAAATTTACCACGAAAAAAAATTCGTGGTTATTTTGCGACGGAATTAGCGACGAATTGTTATTCGTCGCTAATTTTCCTCTACTTGTAGACCCAATTTCTCTCTCTCTGCTAATTCCTCTTATCCCTATTAGCTGTTCTCCCTTCCTCTCCCTATTTGCTGTTATCCCTTCCTCTCGATAAATCTCTCCGCACGCGCAAAAATCTATCTCGGTGAACCTTTTCTACTGGTAAGTGGTGTGATTAATTTGGGCAAAACTATTTTCAAATTTTTGTTATTTTATTGAGTTTTTTTTTCTCTTTTTTTTTTCTGACTTCGTCGCCGCCGCGGGTCCGGCAACCGGCGAGGCTCGCCGGCCATGGGCGGGGCCGCTGGACCTCGCCCGGATCCGGGCGAGGCCGAGCGGCCTCGCCATGGGGCCGGCTGCCGGACCTCGCGGCGAGGTCCGGCGGCGGCCATGGCCGCTCATCCTCGCCGCGAGGTCCGGCGGCGGCCATGGCCGCTCGACCTCGCCGCCCGATCCGGGCGGCGAGGCCCAAGCTCGACCTCGCGGCCCAAATCGGGCGGCGAGGTCGAGCGGCCATGGCTCCGGCTGGACCTCGCGGCGAGGTCGAGCGGCCATGGCCGCCGCGGACCTCGCGGCGAGGAGGTCGAGCGGCGGCCGCTGGACCTCGCGGCGAGGTCCAGATCTGGCCGGAGAGGTCCAGATCTGGCCATGGCCGGCGAGGTCCAACTCGCCGGCCGGTCGCCGGTCGCCGGACCGGCGACCGGAGAAAAAAATGAAGGAAAAAAAATTTGGGAAAAAAATTCGAAAAAAAAATTATTAAAAAAAAATTGGGGAAAAAAAATTATTATAAAAAAATAAAATCTGAAGTCAATTTTTTTTTGTAGGTACGTATTCGTTTGAAAGTCTCGCGGATGAAGTGAACGTTGCAATTCTCATCAAATTGAGCACTTTGTACTACAAAGATTTCAGTCAAATACTTGGGTAAGTCAATTATTTTAATTTTTTCAATTTCAAAATAATTGTTTAGGTAAAAATAAAATTTTAATTTTTAGAATTTTATGGTTTTAATATCGAAAATTTTTTGGCATTAATATTTTACGAGATTTTGTTTTTTTTATATAGACAATGCAAAGAGACAGGGCTTGGATGTATAATAAGAACTTACCTGGACGTCGAGGATTGACCGATGAGTTTCGTACTGGGTTGGAACTATTTTTGGACTTTGCTAGTAGTAAATATGAGTTGATGGATGGAAATAAGTTAAGGTGTCCGTGTAGAAAGTGCAGTAATGGTAAATTTCATGTATGTGATACAGTTAGAGAACATCTTTGTAGATTTGGGTTTACTCCGAACTACTATAATTGGACTTGTCATGGTGAACCATTTATATCTGATGAAGGATATCGAATAAGTGACCAATTTTCAGTTAGGGAAGAATGTAGCTATTATGACCAAATGAACCCATACCAGAGGATGGTGATTGATGCAGCTGGTCATAATTCAGATCCAAACCATGCAAGTACTAGTTTTACTCCAAGACTTGAACAATTTGAAGAGATAGGAGTAACAGGTTTTGATGAGAATGTGTGTAATGAAACGTTTCCATCTAATCAGTTCTGGGAAGTGTTGAAAGCAGCAGATGAACCTTTATGGGCAGGTTGTGACAATCATACTCAGTTATCAGCGACAGCAAGATTGTTAAATATCAAGGCAGAGCATAATGTGTCTGAGAATTGCTTTAACTCTTTTGTTGAAGTAATGCGAGAAGCAATGCCTCCTGATAACATAATGCCAAGTGATTTTTACGATATGAAGAAGTTAGTGGATAACTTAGGTCTTCCAGTTGAAAGGATTGATGTATGTAGTAGGGGTTGTATGTTATATTGAAGAGATGATGAAAATGCAGAATCTTGCAAATTCTGTAGCCAACCTAAGTACAAGATTAACAGGAACAGGAGGCAAGGTCGTAATCAGAAGCGTAGACCATGCAAGCAAATGTTTTATCTGCCCTTAATCCCCAGATTACAAAGGCTTTATGTGTCTCAAGCCACTGCTGAACACATGACTTGGCATGCAAATCATGAAACAGAAGAGGGTCTAATGTGTCATCCTTCAGATGCAGAGGCATGGAAACATTTTGATAGAACATACCCTGAATTTGCGATAGAGCCTCGAAATATTAGGTTAGGTCTCTATGCTGATGGATTTGCCCCATTTGGAAAATCAGGGAAAAGTTATTCATGTTGGCCAGTTATCTTAACTCCGTACAATCTTCCACCCGGTATGTGCATGAAGACACCTTATATGTTTTTGACATTGATCGTGATCGGGCCGCAAAATCCGAAAAAGTTGATAGATGTTTATATGCAACCATTGATTGAAGAGTTACAACGGCTATGGAATGAAGGTGTCGTTACGTATGATGTTTCTACTAATCAAACATTTGTAATGAAGGCTGCTCTTCTTTGGACGATAAATGACTTTCCAGCTTATGGAATGTTATCTGGATGGAGTACAGCTGGGATCTTAGGATGTCCGATATGTTTGGAGATGTCGAAGTCATTCAGATTAAGACATGGTAAGAAGCCTTGCTAATTTGATTGTCATAGACAATTTTTGCCGATGAATCATACATTCAGAAGGAATAAAAAAGAGTTCATGAAGAATAGGATTGAAAGAACTCCTCCACCATTGAGGTTGACTGGTGATCAAATATGGGAGCGAGTGCAGGACTTTCCAACTGTTGTTGAAAACCCTCATGGCACAACTATTGCGTACGGAAGTGCACATAAGTGGACTAAACGCAGTATATTTTGGGATCTACCATATTGGAAAGCTCATCTTATTCATCATAATCTTGACGTTATGCACATTGAAAAGAATGTTTTCGACAATGTCATAAATACTGTGATGGATGTCACGGGAAAAACAAAAGACAACTTGAATGCAAGAAAAGATATGAGAGATATTTGTGATCGGCCAACATTAGATGTGGATGCAAGCAGCAGGGGACCAAAACCAAAAGCAGTTTATACATTGGATAAGGAGCAGAGACGAGTCGTTTGTCATTGGTTGAAATCTGTTCGGTTTCCTGATGGATATGCTTCGAACATCGGGAGATGTGTTGATTTGAACGAATGCAAGTTGACAGGATTAAAGAGTCATGATTGTCACATATTTATGGAAAGACTAATTCCAATAGCTTTGAAGGAACTTCTACCAAACTTTGTATGGGGCGCCATTACAGAGTTAAGTAATTTCCTCCATGATATTTGCTCAACAGTGTTAAAAGCATCACACATGGAGAAACTGGAGAGAGACATTCCAATTATTCTTTGCAATTTAGAAAGGATATTTCCTCCAGCGTTTTTTGATTCAATGGAGCATCTCTTAGTTCACTTGCCTTATGAGGCTAAAGTTGCAGGTCCCGTCCAATTTCGATGGATGTATCCATTTGAGAGGTAAAATTTTTTTCAAAATAAAATTCAAAATACTTTATTATATATTATGTTCTGATAAACTTCTTTCTATTGCAACAAGGTTCTTATATCATTTGAAGAAAAAAGTGAAGAATAAGGCATGTGTTGAAGCTTCAATTTGTAATGCATATATTGTGGAAGAAGTGACAACATTTGCATCATACTATTTTGAGCCGCACGTGCAGTGCAAGAGGCGGAGAGCAGGAAGAAATGATGAGGGTCCCATCGATCCCAATTGCAAATCATTCTCTAATTTCAATTATCTCGGTCGACCAAGCGGCGCATGTCAGTTTCGTTGCTTAACAGGCGAAGAACGGCAGGCCGCCCATACCTATATTTTACTGAACTGTCCAGAAGTGGAGCCATACTTCCAGTAAGTGTATATTTTTGCAAATATATGTATTGCGTGTCAAATATTTACTAATATTTAAATGTAAATTGTTAATAGGATTTTTCAAAATTCAATGTATGGACTACCACCAAATGAGTTCGACCGTTTGTGCGATGAACAATTTGCAGCATGGTTCAAAACATATGTAAGTTGCCTATAGACCAAAACCAAGTTATTAATATTTTATACATCATTTAAATATATATTATTGACTTTGCGTGTGTAATCTTAGGTTCACAGTAATCATGATCAAGTTGAAGAGCAAGAATTACTATATTATCTGTCATGGGGTCCACAGTCAAGCATACGAAGTTGGCCAGCATATTTCATAAACGGGTACAATTTTCACACTCGAGAATATGGAATGGAAAAAGCCACAATGAATAGTGGTGTGTGTGTTCGGTCATCCAATTGTGGTAGTTCAAAAGATGATTTTTATGGCTTGTTGGATGAAATCATCGAGATAGAGTACCCCGGACCATCAATGCGGGTTGTGTTATTTAAGTGCATGTGGTTCGACCCCGTCAAAGGAACGAAGGTACATACGAAGTTTAATTTGG